AGAGAAACATACAGGGAAAGTGATGGTAAAGACATACAGGAGGAAGACCATCTAATGACAGAGGTAGAGATTAGAGAGTGATCCATCTATGAGTTAAAGAACCCAAAGATTGTGTAGAGAACCTAGGAGAGAGATATGAAATAGAGTCAGCCCCAGAGACTCTTGCAGGACCTAGTCCCCAACTTCATTTCAGCTTCCCAAACTGTAAGACAATAAATCTCTGTTGCTTTAAGATATTCAGTATATGGTACTTTATTATTAAAAGCCTGGTAAACTAATATAAATACCAAACGCTGCTACTGCAAGAAGTTAAGGATGGAAAATGACTAATTGGCTTAATATGCAGATAAGTAATAGAAAAGTGCATTGATAGACCAGTATTAAGTATTCCATACTTTAAAATGATATCATGCAGTGAAGAAGTAGAAATATTGAATTTAAATCTAGGGATAGAAGAAGTTGAATAAAAGGAATAAACATAGCTACTAAAAGGGGATATGGGCAAGAAAGTATATTTTAATGTTGATTATTAGATATGTCAATATTAAAGGGAAAGGTAAAAATGAATAAGATGTTGAAGAGAAAGAAAATAAATTGTTAAAAGATAAAATAATGTGTTTTAGAAAGAGAAATGGCTGCCAGGCGTGGTGGCATATGACTGTAATCCCAGTGACTCAAGAGGCAGAGTCAAGAGGATCACAAGTTCAAAGTCAGCAACTTAGCAAGACCCTGTCTCAAAATAAAAATAAATAAAAAGGGCTGGGGTTTTGACTCAGTAATTAAATATCCCTGGGTACCAAAGAAAGTACCAAAGAAAGAAAAGAGAAATGACTATCTCTGGGATAATAAAAAATGATGAAAATGGATGAAATACACAGAAAAGTTAAAATTCTTGGCTAATGGTTTTTAGCTTCGTCAGATAAATTGGAAACAACATCATTTGCTGAGTGTTAAGAAGAAAGAGGTTAGAGAAGGAAGAGATTTGACAAATGGATATTTTCGAAATGGAAACTGATTATACACATGGAGAGGTATCTGACAGAAAGCAAGAATTTTTAAGAAGCAAGCACCTGTCTACACAATTAAGTGGAGATGTATTGATTGATTGATTGCAATCAATATTTAGGAACTTGATTACAGGACCCCAAACCCAAAATGTGAAACTGACTCAATGTAATTGCAAAGCAACTGTGATGAAAAACATCAAAGAAAAATGTATAAATCAGGGGTCAAAGTACTGAAATTGATAAGAAGGGGAAATTTTTCAAAATGGGAAAAACTGAACATATTGAAGTGAAAACTGTCAAACAGAAGTTCACTGTCAAAGACATAAATATTACATTTAGACAAGCTCTTCTGCCCCAAAATAACTCCTTCACTAGCTAGCCAGCAACATTATCTGAAATTCTATCCTATTATACTTATTTTGGTGAGGCTGTTAAAATAAAAAAATAAAGTATGAAATATATGGCACTAAGTTCAAGCTGCTAGAGAGGACAGAATAATTAATGCATGACAAATGTCCATTCTCTTATTATAAGTTGTTAAACAGTTGGAAAAACATTGCCATTATACATTCTAAGCAAAATCATAGATAGCAAATGAAATTTAGAAGAATTATAATATCTTTAAAAACATATATACTAACCATTATTTTGAGAAATGAAAGAAAGGTAATAGTTATTCTTTTTAAAAGTGAGCACACACATTTATTTGTTAACCAGCCTGGTTATACAGTCCTGACTGTATGATGAAATTTGAATGATATGCTTTTAATAACTAAGAGTATTGTGATTGTAATTTCAAAAGTCATTTTATGCATATTCCCCAGAGAAAGCCAGTTCTATATTGCAAGAAAGCCTAGAAAGAAAGAAGTATAATCTTTTAAATATAGTACTTCATAATAAAATGCATTCATACTTCTTGATCATTGGGGATATATGTATATATAGTGAGTATTCACAAAAAAAAGAATCATAATTTGGATGATACTTATGCAATTAAACTAACTTGCTATTAGGTAAAATCTACTACCATCTTCTACCAAAAGATCTACCAACCTTAATTTCTTTTCCTGCTGTCTTGTATATTAGCATAAGTACATATTCACTCTCCCAGGTTTTAAACACTAGAGTGTAAGTTCCTGTTTAGAAAGTGAGCTTTGAATCATTAACATTTTCTCTGCTCTTCTGCTTCTTCCTTTACTGGTCCAAGTCTAATACTTTTGGAGTTCTTATGGTAAAAGAACGAGGAGGAGGAAAAATGAAGGAAACAGCTGAGTGAACTCAAATAAGACCAGAATTCAGAATGTGGAGCTACAATGGGCAGATTGTTCACCAAATTCTCTTACTCAAGAAACCTCATTATTAGCCCTAAACTTATCAACCTCAATTTTCAAGGTATACACTTCTGATAATTTTGTCTTTCTTTTTGGAACTTTACTACCTTCTCACAAAGAAATTTATTAAGAGAAGCTGAGAATTCAGAATCCAATGGACACAGTACTGGATTAACTTTCTCATTTTTTTCTCTGTATTTTCTTATTCCTATTTCTGCATCTGCTTTAATGGCAAAAATACTGCTATACTCCATGAGGAGAGAGGTCATAGCTAACTGCTTTGTTGCCATGTTCCCAGTACCTGGCACAATACCAAGAAGTATACTCAATACACATCTGAGAATTGATAGACAGGAAGGAATACTGATGAACTTATTGAGATCCAGAGAGATTCTAAGACAGATCAAAGAAGGAAAGATGTTTTGAATCCTCCAGACCCCTCATTTGGAAAGGAAAAAGACTTTTAAAACTCTTTTTATTGAATCTGCTTCTGACTCCATCATTATCATTTGTTTTATTTCATTTAGGAGGGGGATCATATCACCTATACTATTCTATAAGCATAATATAGATAGAATTGCAGACTTATAATATTTTATTGTATTAGAAATAAAGTTAAAGTGCAAAATGGTTGTATTTTTACACAAGATAAGTAATTTTACAACTTTAAATTTTTAATCAAAATAAGCTTAATTACCAAACTACCATATAACCTATTTCATAATCTTGATAAGTGGTGTGTCATACAGAGTATTTCTAAAATACTCCTTCTTGTACCATTAGAGAAGGAAGAAACTTTCATTTGTCACTCAAATAATTTCTAGAGGTTGAATTAGGAAGAAAGAAGCCATCTGCCTTTCAAAGTAAAATGATTTAATTTAGAATTAGTAATCAGGAAGTATGAAGTCTTTATTAGCTTTATCTATGATTCAGCACATATTTTCACAGGCTTCTCTGGGAAGAAATAGGAAATAATAACGTGATAATGATCATGTTTAGCATGCATTTATTGTGAAGCAGGGTTTTCTCAGTGTAATGGTTTTCAGATTGCCTCAGACATTTCTATACACTACACTTTTGGTCACAAAAATTGTAAGAAGGAAAACTCTATTCATTTACCTTAAGTACATTTTGCATAGCAATCACAGCAAGGTTTTTGAAGAATATGTTCTAACTTAGAAAAAGTAAGAATGCAGAATGTCTTCCAATCATAAATGCTACTTACTGCTCAGATCCATTTCATCTGAAAATGTTCAGAAGCAATGCAGGTTGATAAATAGAAGGAAGGATACTTAATATTTATTGGGGTCTTCTTCTTACCTTGTTTTGTTGAAGGCTGTTGAAATTCCTAATCCAAAATTATGCTGTAAATTAAATTTGTAAATAATCTTTACTTTCGAGTAAAGAAGCTGAGACACAAAGAGAGTGGTGTGTGGAAGATGGTTAAGAATATGTTTAACCCCTTATGATGCATCCCTATACACACACTAAGAAACTAATGAAGGAGGGTTTCTCACTAGAACATCCTGTAAAGTTGCCTGTGAGATCAGTCTAAGCACAAACTACTTCTCCAGTGTGCCCTCCACAAAGAACTAGCTCACCTGCTCTCAGCCAGAGCTCTTGAGTCGCCCCCTTGGTCTGCCTGGGAATCTTTATTGTTGCTGGTCCTCAGGTTCAAACCCTTAAAACCAAAGCAACAAATGTCTGGAACCACATTAAAAAAAATTTTTTTTGTATGCATTTACATTGCCTATGTGATACAGTTCGACCCAAATCGTCCTTGTATTTCAAGAAAACTTAAATCTTGGGATTTCTGGTTTACCCTCCGTGTCAGAATCCCATCCCAGAAGAAACCATTGTTTCTCTCAGCCTGAAGGCAATGAGTGGACAGAACTGATTTCAGGTGGCTGTAGAAGGTAAATAGAGGGGCGGGGAAACCCATCGAAAGAGGAAGGGGGGATCTAAGACAAGGAAATGTAAACCCAGGAGCAGAATGTTGAATGAAACTCCAAAGGCCACTGAAACAAAAGAAAGTTGCAACTCCCAGTGCCCCCAGCCTGCAGCAGGTCACACCCATGCACATCTTTTCGGAAAGATCACTTGGGATCCTGCCTTTGCCTCACGGGTAAATGGTTAGTTGATTTAGAAAAATACGTCCCACAGTAAACGTCTGAGAGCGGGTACATCAGCAAAATCCTGGGAGTTAAAGGAAGGAAAGCAACATTTGAAAGATTTTAATGATAGTTGATATAATGCAGCCCTTTCTTGTGAGCGCATCAGCCCTCCACGGTTCAGCTGTCTGGCAAATGAATGAAATCCAAAGGGCGGGATGGAGAAAAGGAGCGCAATCGTAGAGCGGGAGAAGGGGTTCGTCAGCTCTGCTGCCCCCACAACGTCACCGAAGAGACTATAAAGCGCGCCTGCAGCTCAGGATTCTCAGTTCTCCAGCCTATGCCCAGAGATCCGCCAGGGCGGGATCTGAGTTCCCCACTGGGTACAGTCCCAAATTGTTTCTTTCGCATCTTGTCCTTCCCGCCTCCCAGGACTGCAAACTCCTCAGAGGAAGTGCGACTCTTGCTCCCCTTTAAAGGCTGGACCAAAGCATCCCTTAACCAGCAAGAGCTACGGTACTTTGTCTACTCGCTTCCCAGGCGGGACTAACGACCGCCGGACACGACAGTGACCAGGAGGCAAAGAACAACTTTAAGGGAGTGGGCTAGGGCTGGCAGCGGGGCGAGGTCTCAGGCTACAGACCTGGGGCCATGGCCTCTCTCCCAGCAGCAGAGAACTGGACAGACTACCCGGGAGGAGTCGATGTGGACTCCGGGAACCTGAGTGCTGCTCTCGGAGTCGGAGCGGCGGCAGGGACAGCGGAGACTGAATGGCTGCGTTTGCTAGTGCAAGGTGGCAACTTCTCCTCTTCCTCCGAGCTGGGACTGCCTGAGGCTTCGCCCGCGTCCTCCCAGCCCCGGGCCAACCTCACTAACCAGTTCGTGCAGCCGTCCTGGCGCATCGCTCTCTGGTCCCTGGCATATGGCGTGGTGGTGGCAGTGGCGGTCTTTGGAAATCTCATTGTCATCTGGATCATCCTGGCCCACAAACGCATGAGGACCGTCACCAACTATTTCCTCGTGAACCTAGCTTTTTCTGACGCCTCCATGGCAGCTTTTAACGCGTTGGTCAACTTTATCTACGCGCTTCATAGCGAGTGGTACTTCGGCGCCAACTACTGCCGCTTCCAGAACTTCTTTCCTATCACAGCTGTATTCGCCAGCATCTATTCTATGACGGCCATTGCAGTGGACAGGTGAGGGGAAGAGGGGGAGGAAGGAGGAAGGAGAGAGAACTAGGCTGCGAGATAAAGTTACAAAAGAAATGATGACTTAGTGGGGGTCTTCGAAAGTAAAGGAACTAAGAGTTTTTGGAGAGAGTCCAGTGGCTGAACCAGTGTCTGGTTCCGTGGCCTCCTCCCACTCAAGCCTTAACTCTTTGAGGGCATCGGAGAGGGACTGAAGAGGGCAAAGCAAAGTGATGTAAAAAAGAATAATAAAAAAAAATAAAAAATTCTTTCCTTCTGAGTAGGACCATTTAGCTAGAAACATTTAATGATGCCAAATTTATTCAAATGACTTTAAACAATTGCCTGAACTTTAGGTTCACAGTAAAATGGTTTTTTTTGTTGTTGTTGTTGTTTTTGTTTAACATGTTTTGTCTTCTTTTTCTTTCTGTTGGTCACTATCCTGGCTGATAAATGAGGAGTTACCCACCGACCTCCCCTCCTTTCTCTGGTCTGCTGGACCTCATTCACAGGGTCCTCCCCACTCCCTAACTCTTGGCAGAGGCAGCAAGTTCCCTCCAACTGCCAAGCTGACAGTTCCCATCATGTCTCTGTTAGCTTTAATTTCCAATAATTTGTGAAGATCATAAACTGGATAAACCCTATGCCTGGAAGTGTGTAACAATCATTCAGAAGATGGGGAACATTAATCCATCCCAAGGACTAAGCGGTTTAAAAATGAGACACACTACAGATGTTTAATTTTTTTTTTTTTCAGAATGAACCTCTATTACAGTAGGAATTCTGAGATGTGTGAGCAGTTAAAAGAAGCTGAATGACCCTCAAACACTTGTTCCAGTATTCTGATTTCTAAAAATCCTGCATGCATCTAATTTACTTTCTTATATTGAACAGTGTGAAATGTACACACTTGTGAAAACACAATGGTGAATCTACCTGTTATTGAAAGCTAGATATATTTTAATTCAATATTAAGTAGAAACAAACCATACCAGTGGATTCCAGGGCTGGCTTTGTGATTGACTACTAAATGAAAGATGCAGAGGGATGATGTCACTTTAATGTCTCAATGTTCTAATCTGTGAAAAGAAAAAAAGAACTTTTTTTATATTAACAAAACTTTTTCAAAGTAAAATGAGGCTAAATACTAATTGTTACTGTGTTCAGCTGCCATTATGAGAAAAAAAAATTTAAAAAGTCAAATGTTTTTTCCTCGAGTTTATCCTCTATGCTTACTATTTTGAAATGGCAAGCACAGTGGTATTAATAACATAGATCTATAGAAACTATTCTCGCATACCAGGCCCAAAAGGTTAAGTTGAAAAAGCAGTTATTACATTCACTAGGATAAACACAAAGTAACACTTTTTAAAAGCCTTAGAACTTGTACTTTCCCTTTCTCCTAACCTCTGATCTTCCACACACTTTCACCCTTTCATTTCTGGATAGAAGTGAATGTAAAAAATGAACAAAGTCAGCTCTAAGTTGGGACAGGTGAAAATGTCTCCTGTCTTGCTCCACCAATATAGAAGTGAATATTCTTTGAGTTTGTACATCTTTTATATTTTTAAAAAATTTATCTTAAGTATTTGCTTTTTAAATATTGTGATCAGAGGAGAGGTGTTAGCATATAATTTTATAAAATGCTCACAATCTTCTTGAAGTGGTAATGAGGCAATATAAAATTTGATGGAAATTTTAGTGCATGTGAAGTTGTCATTTCAGTTCTAAGGGGAAAAAACAGGTTATTTTTCCAATTTCTTCCTGTCAACATTTCCAAAATGGTTATTTTAACCGATAACATAATGCTGTTTGATTACACTCACTGGTTTGAGATTAATGTGAACTTTGCTATTTATTCTTTTCTCCTTCTTATATCACTACAACTATACAAAATTTATACAGTACAATTTGCTATAAAATCTGAAATATACTTGGTTTGTATACAGAAAATATTCTTTAAATGTTCTTATTTCAGCAGACAGTAGCTAAAAAGAAATACAGAAGTTGAGAAAACTCTGATTATGATAATTTCTGGACTCAAAGACTGTGTAAATATTACAGGTGTTAAAACTCGCAATAATTTACCAGTCCATGGAACTTTTCTGCATTGATGCCTTATCAAATATGGATTGACAAAGCTGACCCTTTGAGATTTTCAATCATTTTATAGATTACAGTTTGCAAGATAAATCCTTCTGGGGTTATGTGAGTCTTGCCTTTGTTTATGGTTGCATAGCCTAACTGCCTCATGAGCTGAGGACATATTTAGGATATGCTCATAGAAATTAGTACCTTATTGAAATAACTGTAAATACTGAATAATCCTTAATTGATTCTCATTAATAAAGAAATACATCATTTAGATCATGGTGTCAAAGTTAGGCTTGAAAAGGTTTATGAAGACCTGTATTCTACAAATGGAGAATTTTAAGCTAATGGTCACACGTTTGTCGTAATAAAATGCACTGGGTTTTCTGTGAAATGTTTAGCACTCATTTGCACCTGAATGGTTTGCTTTTTATTTTTACTTTGTAAATAATTCTACTAAAAATTTGAGTGTGAGGGCACAGGTTCAACTCCTCTGAAGAATGGTATACCACTACTGCTTTGTTACAAATTCCAGTGTTCTTACTGGTCAAGAATCTTTCAGTCCTTCTTGCCTGGGGGCCACTTCATCACCATCACCATGCCCCTGCCCACACAAACAAACATGGTAGAATTATTTACCAATGAAAAGTTGCTTTTCTCTCTGCTGTCCTTCCCAAACTTGCCACTTTGAAACATAGCATTTGGAAATAAGACTTATCTAAGAGATGCCAAGCTTTCCAAAGATCATGAAGTTAAACTAAGATTCAATCACAGCACTCTGCTCTAGGAACGACAGTAGTCTTCACACCTGCATTATTACATCTTCTAACTAGTTGTGAAGTCTGTATTTGACTGGACAAAGTCAGCATCTTCAAGAAAATTAGATATAACACTTGTTTATGCCATGTATCTTTAATTCATTGTTGCTTCCTGGTATACCTTTAGAGAGAGATTTGATATGCTTTATCTAATAGATCCAAAGTACTAACAAAGATAGCGAAAAAAAAATATGTCTTTAAAACCCAGAGACATACCTGGCATGAATAATTATTAAAAGGAATATGTAGTTGAACTAATATATAGTTGAACATAAAGGAATATTTTTAGTCAAAGAAATAAAAATGTATATTATATGCTACTACTCTTCTAAATTTCTTTCATCTTCAATTTTGCTCTTTTTTATAAATCTAATTTGTACAAATTATTCATTGAACCTCTATGAAGTGCTTTCAAATTTGATTATGAAGAAATAATATTATACAGTCATAAAAATTTGTGAGGTTTTGATCTGGCAACAGATTATCTAAATGTATTATGGTAAATTTTATATATGGCTGTAAATATTGTAGATATAAATGCTCTGGTAAAATTTTTAGAAATTATTTATTAGTCTGATTTGAGTACACTGAACCAGGCTCATTCATCTTCTAGGGAAGGTTCATGCAGTTAATATTCTTTATTAGTGTGATAGTCATACGCAGCTCATTATTTAGTCCAGATAATAAACTTGATGAAATTAGCCTAAAGTCAATTATTTTATGCCCTTGAACCATTCACAAAGTAGTAATTAGAGTCATACTTTGGGAAATATTACTTTTAGTAAATTTATAAATCTTTGGCTTCTTGGAGTTCTTTTCAAGGATTTAAAAATATCCTATCAGTGTCCAGTAAAAGTACTGCTTTAGTGAAGTGTGAAAGTTCTATTAAAATTATAGTGTCAATTCTTATAAAATTAATTATGAGCACATCAAAAAAGCAATACATATTTGAATTGAATAGATAGAACATTCAATTAAAGAATATAGGCTTTTCAGTATATTAACAGATATAGTGTTAAAAAGAAACCATTACATGTCACATATTATTTTACACTAAGAAATTTATATAATCCATGGAGCACAGTGGTATATACCTCTAATCTCAGCAGTTTGAGAGGCTAAGGCAGGAGGATCACAAGTTCAAAGTCAGCCTGAGCAACTTAGCCAGGCCCTATTTAAAAATAAATAAATAAATAAGGACTGTAAAAGTAGCTCAGTGATTAAGCACTTCTGGGTTCAGTCACTGGTACTAGTACCACACACAAAAAAAAGAGAGAGAGAGAATATGAAGGAAGGAAGAAAATTATATAAACTGAACACAAAAAGAACAAAGGACATAAATGGAAAGTTTACAAAAGAAGAAGAAATAAAATACCTAACAAACATAAAACTCTCAGTTCCTTATATTCTATATTTCCATTTCCTCATCTGATAAATGCTCCTTAAGCCACTCAAATCTCATTTCTTTTCTTCTCTACCTGAAGAGTAACATTATCAAAGCTAGGGAATATCTCAGTTATTGACTTTTTTCACCTGGCTGTACTCCTCCCAGGCAGCTTCTGCCTAGAAGTCCCTTCTCTGGCTTCCAATTTTTCTAATCTCCTCTTTCCTCCCTAGCCTTTTTCTCATGATTATATTTCTGAGTCTCTACCTGCATATAGTAATTAAACACATAGGTTGCTCAATGCTAAATTCTCTGTATGATTTTCTTCTTACTTTTATTTTCTGTGCCCAAGTAATTTCATCCACACCTGAAGCTTCATTTATCCCATTTGAATGAAGAGCTTTTTTTTTTTTTTAATCTAATTGTTTTTCTGGGTTATAGGTGGCATATAAGGGCCCACAGAATGAAAATACAAATATATATGAGCCAAAAATTAAGACAAGGCAAGATGTATAAACATATATACATATGGGAAATATTACTTTTAGTAAATTTATAAATCTTTGGCTGAATAAGATATTAATATATGTAGAATAAGATATTAATATATATCTTTTTATATAAATAAAAAGATGTCTAGGACAAAAGGGTAACACACATTCAGTTCAAAGAGGTCCTAATATCTTATGAAGTTTGAATTTGAAATATGGCACTAA